ATCCGGATCTTTGCGTTTCGGCGGCGGGGGGGCGGGGGGGGTTGGGCTTGGCGACGGGGGGTGGGAGGGGGAGTTGTCTGCCGGCCTGGTCGCCACTGCCACTGGGGCAGGCTGCGGGGAGGAGGACGAGGGAGGAGTCCGTAGACTCCACCTCCATTGCAACCTCAGCCACTGGGGCGAGGGGCCAGCAGATCCCGACGACTTACTGGCCGTCGTGCGGTTCGTCACGCGACGTAACCAGGGAAAGGGCTGGTCCTCGTCGTCGTCGACCTCAGCCCTTCGGCGAGGAGCAGGTGGTGGTGCGGGAGGCGGATTCGCCTGCAACCGCTCGCGGTCCTGCTCCTGGCGCGCTTTGGCTTTAGCGCGAGCGGCCTTATCGGGACGCAGCTTGCGTCTTGACAGGGAGCTCGTGCTGTGCCATATGCCTGTTTGGTCAAAACGCTCCTGCTGTTCGCGGGCGTGGCGACCCTTTCCTTTGGGTGCCATGGTCGCCCTCCTTGAGGAAGCTAGCGGAAGAACTGAGTGATTGGAGGGCACGGGGTGGAAGGCTTGGGCTTGGGCTTGGGACGAGGCTTAGCTTTGGGCTTGGAGGCGGGGGCGCTAGGGAGAGCGAAGCCTGGAGCCTTTAGAGCTGGGGCCTCAAGTGCCAAACCAGGGCTAGCAAGAGCCTGGGCCCGGGGAACCTCCGAAGGAGACCTGGGGCCTTCGAGAGGGAAAGTGGCTTTGGGGTCTGAAACCTCAACCGAAGTGAGGGCAGAAGCAGACACAGAACCCTGAAGCGAACCCCAGGAACAAGGCACGGAAGGGACCTTAGGGGCAGCGGCAGAGGCAGAAGGAAAAACCTGGAGCCCAGGGGAGGGGGAACCCGTAGAGAAAAACCCCCGCACCGAAGGAAGCGCACAAGGCGCTACGAGCTTTTTTGGCGCGACGCCCATGCGAAGAGTCACTTGGCCATGACACTGGCCACACTTCCAGGACGGCCCCTGGCGCACAAGGCTGTGCGAGGAGTGGACCGCAAAGGGGCACGAAACCGCAGCCGTTCGGCACGGGAATGAAATGAGACGCTCGAAGGTTTCCGGCGTGTCAACCTGGTAGATGCAAAGAGAGCACTCGGAGCATTTAACACACATGTTGAAACTCTTCTCCTTAGAGGTGCGAGCCCAAACGTGCCCGCCTGGAAGAGGGGGTTCGTCAAGGAGGGCCTGCAACCTCTGCCTCTTGTTGGGCGAGGGGGAAGAGGAAGGCTCAAGAGCGGAGAGGAGGCGGTTCTTCCGCGGCACGAAATCCTCCTTTTCGGCCTTGGCCAAAATTGCGACCGCGCGGTGACCGAGATACTCGCAAACGAGGGAGGTGACACGGTCTACCTCCTTCTGGGCGGCCAGACGGTGTGGGGTCTGAACCTCCTCCGCGCGGTCCCTGGCGAGCATGTCCGCAAGAGAGTTGAGCTCATGGCGCCACAGGGCTTCAGCGCCAAACTCAAAACAAAAGTCCGAAGGACTAAGGTGAGAGCGAACCCAGTGGGGGTCGGCTCGATGCCTGTGATCCCACGCCTTGGCCCACACAAGCGAGGTGCGCTTCGTGAAGGGCCCCTGCAGGCTGCGCAGGGCGGGCTGGCAGTCGCAAGTGAGGTCAAAAGTGCCACGGGAAGAGAGGAGGACCTGAGCAATGGCCTCGCTCTCGCCCTCCGGCACAGAAGCAGGGGCAGGCAAGAGCCCGGACAGGGTGCCCAGCACGACAAGGACGCCCTCGTTCCTGCTGGCAACAACCGCAGCCCAGCCAACCGAGCGGAGGCGGCTATCCTTGGAGGCAGGGCCTCCGGAAGCGTCGGTGGCGACGTAGAGCCCGGTTAGGTCAGGGGTGCCTTCGAGGAAGAGACCTGTACGGCGTACCTCAGCCTCGCGGGCGAGGGGCTCGCGGGAGGTAAGGGGGCGCATACCGCGCAACCAAAGGCAGTCGGCAGGATGTCGCCGCTTGTAGGACAGCAGCCACCCCGCGGGCATGAGGGCGCCGGGGATTTTTTCGCACTCGTAAAGGAGGTGGTGCAGGGTGTTAGGGCCGCCACAGAACTTGCACCGTTCCTTACCTCCGTTGCCCGAATGGAGGAGGGCTTCGTCCGAGGACTGGCTAAGAGGCGGCGAGGCACGGTCCAATCGATGCCAAGGGCGGCACCAGCGGCAGTGGAGACGGCGCCGATACGGGACCAGCGCTCGAGCTGAATGACCCGGCGTAGGAAAGCAGAGGCCTCAAAAACCGCTCCCGGATCGCGGAAGCGGAAGTGAAAGGTAGCCTCGCGGTGTGTCCAGACCTCAGGGGTAGGGGCAGACACCCGCAAGTCCAGCAAGTACTGGATGAGCGCGGAAACGGGACCGTTCACGATTTTCCACCCATGGGTGGCAGAGGCCTGTCTGGACCAGGAGGAGGCCCAAGTGCGGGTGAGTAACCGCACGCCTTCGGGTGAGGCGCTGGAGGCAAGACGCCCAAGGGCCTGGAGCTGTTCCACTACCACAAGCTGGTGTGGGTCAACGGCCTTGTGGGACATGAGGTCGAGAATAACGTCGGCGGAGCCGTGCTCAAAACGACCAGCCTCGCGCGCAACCGCCGAGCGTAAGACCTTAAGGCGCTTAGGGGCAACCCCTACGGCCTGATGGCCATAAAGACCAGCCTTAAGGGCGGAGGCTTGGAGCAGCCGGCCACGCACCCACCTGCGGCGAATGCGGAGGCGGCGCATGTGGCGGACACGGCCGATGCCGGTGCGAAAGCGCTTTTGGGCGGTGGTGATGCGCCGCCGTCGGCCAGCAGCGCAGTCAAGACCTACCTGCACCTCCGTCTGTGCTAGTTATTCCAGCCTAGGCTGGTCATACTACAGCAAAACACCACTTCTCAGCCATTTCTTGAATATCGGCCTTTAGGGCTGAAATGTTGATTTCAGGGTAGAACGGGCTTGGGTGCATTTCCTCGAAGGCTGATCGTGTTCTTGACGCTTGATTTCAGTGCAGGCCATTGCAGGCTGGCTCCGTGTATTTCGTGACAACAATATGCTCATAGATCTTCCAGGCCAGGCACAAGCAACATGCACCGACAATGACACGTAGGCAGTTTCATGAAGTTAAGTCGAATGGGTGCATGCCAGTGCACCATCCATGGATATTCCATGCTGTGGTGAGTTGCTGCTCCGCCCGGTCGGTGCGCCCTGTGATGTGCAAGCTTTGCATGCCAGTACTGTTGGGCATGGATCGAGCAGTCAGGCATGCTCCTGTGCATGATTGGCCGGCAAGTGCAGCCGCTTTAGATCGAACGCCGGTCCACTCATCATGAAACAAGTGTGAAAGAGCATCGCATGGTGTAGAACGTAGGATGTCTTTGCAAGATGCTTTGATGTGCGAATGGCAGCTGCTGCACCGTGTAGGCAGGGTATACCCAAGGTGTCGAAGCTTTGCGGTATATGCTCTCGACAGGTCTAGCGGACATGTCCGAAAACTTCTGGAAGGATGCCTTTGAAGCACTCGATTTTCCCCAGGACCTTCCTGTGTAGCATGCGCACTTTCCAAAGATAATACTCTCCCCTGGAAGGACCCACCGCTGAGCTATGCTGACAAGGTCAAGATGGTGGTGCAGAATTATGAGTTGAAGGGCATCGTTCACCACCTTGTTCAGATGTGGGTGAAGCGCTGTGACTAGGCTAGTTGCGCAAGTTAGTGTGTCGTGCCGGGTGTTCGCAATAATCTCAGGTGAGCGTGAGGAGAAAGTATCTTTTCTGAATTGGCCATGATACATCAAAACGAGCCCCCCACCCACTTGTGCAACCCAACAGCCCAGGAAGAGGCAGAGAAAAAACCCAAGCCAGCGATGTCTCCCTCGCCGTGATGGGCCGAGCTCATAGGAGCATAGTCTTCGAAGGATTGCCATCAATGGTCGTTGGGCTATAGCCACGTTTTGTGTAGAGCGCAGTGCTTGACTGCCATTGCAACAGAAGTGGAAAGACTTGCTTGTGCAGAGTGCTTGCATTGCTGATTCAAGCGATGTAGAGGGCTCATTATGTGCGGTCACGAGAGGTACTGCTGAGTGTCGCCGGCTCTGCTGGAGCGCAAGTAACAGCCGCTCTGCACGGATCCCAGCTGGAGTTGCCACTGTGCTGTGTTCAAATTTCACTATGTGTGATATCGTGTGCCCATGAGGAGTGAAATGGGTGCAGCCTTTTTTCCCCAAGCCCATTCAGTGGAGTTTTGTTATAGTGTGTGCTCAACATGGCAGCGCAGCCGGCAGCACGCAACAGAAAAGGGGCCTGCAGTGGCATAGCTCGTGTGCCGACAGGGCTTGCAGCAGAGTGGGAAGGTGTCGAAGACATCCGCAGGCAGGTGCTTATCAACCGCCGCTTGCTGCAGTGGTTGTCTGCAGAGCACGTGGGAGTGCCGTGCTTCAAGAGTGCCAGCATGAACTTCAGTGTTCTCGAAGCCTTCTTTCGGAAATGGGTGCAGATATCCCCAACTTTGAAACGCACGGCTGGCCAGCCGGCGTGCAAAAAGGAGGCCTGTCGATCTCGGTTACCCACTTAGTTAGTTAACTCTATATATGCAGATCCCTGGATACCCAAAATGGATCGATGCATGCATATCTCGATCAGTGAACTCCCCTGACACCACACCCACTTATCCTACTTTACCCAATATCCCGTACATAGGCTCTTTTTTATACCGGTGCCGCATCCCTGCAGGTATGTCGGCTCTTTGAACTTCTGCACCAGGTGCCTGGCAACATTCAAATCGAACTCGATGGGTGGGGTCTTCGGAAGTTCCTGAGTATGTTCATCCGGCGTTTCAACCACCCCAGCAGATCTACGGATTCTGTGGCTGCATCTTTGGTTCATCGTGAACTTTGGGCTGATGGTAGGCCGTTGTACTCATTCTAGAACACACTGCTGTCGTTTGTTTTACATAGAATCCAAAAGCATGCACACATCTGAGGACCCGAAGATCAGAGCCCTCAAGCGGATCCTACTTGAGGCCTGGGATGCAGCTCTTCCGCTTCGTCATCAGGCTCCGCAGCCCCTGCCCCACCAGTTGAATGCATTGAGATTCAAGATGACGAGGAGATCGTCACCCCGAATCCCAAAAAAGCATGGCACTCCGAGGATGGTTCAGGGGAGAAGCTTGAGCGCTTGAAGCGATTGAAGGCAAACCTGAGTCAGCTACAGTGCCTAGGATCATTTTGACAGATGACATTCCTCTTAGTGTTGTCCGTTGCCTTACTATAGCCACGCAGCTTGATATTATAAACCCTATAAAAGCCCGTATCCCCTAACTGGCATGCATAGCAGCCCTAAATAGCCTAGAATAATAACCCTGAGCCCACCAGCGCCCTCGACGCTGCTCAGGAACCGCATCTCAATGCAGAAGAAGGCCACACCCGATGTCCCATCGAGCCTCGACCAGCCATCAGCACCTTCCATGGCTTCAGATCCCAGTGCCTCAGCGCATTCTCGACTTCAGGGTGTTTTCCAAGCTTCTTCGATTCATGCATCACACCTGCCTTAAGGTACGGTGGACACCCAAACCTATGATGCTGATGCCGCAATGCAAGTGCTTTGCAAGCCTGTGATCATTGCTGACGATAAACCTGTGGACGAGCCCCGGGGCAGTCAAGTTGCTGCTCCGACCCCTGACGATGACACAAGCACCAAGAAGCCCGAAGCCCCAAAGGATGTGACATCCAAGCCGAAGGCTGACCGTGCTATGGAAGTCCGTTCAGGCAAGAAGCTGCCTCAGGCTCCCGCCGAAGTGGCCTCCGAGACTGCTGGTCTCAGCTTGTTGACCCCAGCTGGTGGCCTCTCAGAATGCACGGGCAATCCCGACATGGCTGCACGTGCTTCGATGTACGACAGCAAGGTATGCGATGCACGAAAATAGCTAGCAGCTAGCTTACGTGTGCTCATTAACGACATTCGTGGTATGTGATTCATGTATGGTACCTGCAAGGTAGCTGCTCCATCGAAAGAGGCTCAGGATGAGCAGCTGAATGCCGTTCAGCTTGCTGAGATCGAGGCGACCGAGAGCAAGAAAAAGGGCAAAGGATACCAAAAAAAGCCAAAATCCAAAGCGAAGGCAAAGGCCAAAGGCAAAGCATCCAGCGCCCGGGCATGCCCAGCAGAGGAGCAGGATGACAAGGAGCAGGATGACAAAAGCAAGGACGGTGAAGAGGAGCTGCAGGAGGATGGTAAGAGCGATGCCGCCAGGATCCCGTGCCGCCAGAAGCGCGGCAGTACGGTCAAGGCGAAGCCTGAGCAGGAAGATGCAAGACCAAAGAAAAAGGCCAAGCCAGCCAAGGCATCTGCAAAGGCGCCAGAGGAAACGAAGGAGCCGGAGGAGACAAAGGAGCCGGAGGACACAAAGGAGCCGGAGGAGACAAAGGAGCCGGAGGATCGAAAGGAAGGGGAGGAGGAACCGCATGCAGCCCCAGCCGCCAAGCGCAAGCCCGGCCGGCCCAAGGCAAAAGCATCGCCCAAATCCAAGGCCAAGGACCCAGCTGGTCGGGAGCCCAAGGATCCGAAAGCTTTGCAGGATGATCGCCGCAAGAAGCGGGCAGCGAACAAGGAGAAAATGGATTCGTATGAGTTGGCCAAATTCCGTTACACGATGTATGTGGTTTACTGGACCAAAAATGGTGTGGGGCTAAAGCTGCGCAACGTGTACGATGCCGGAAAGCAGGTGGGGTTGTTATACACATGTGTGCGTGCACGTGGCATGCATGCATATATGGTCATCATGCTAAGCCTCTCAATCTTTGCAGGTGTTCTACATTGCTGGGAGCCCATCCATGAAGGACAACCTGGATTGCGCATGCTTGGCCGTGACTTCTACTGCATGTGCGAGGTTTCCACGTTCTGTTATGGCAATAGAACCTATATGCACGTCATACGAACCATGCGCATGACTCTAAGGCGCAAATCATCGAGGAGGCCCACGGTGATATGTCAGACTCGGTTGTGGAGAAGCTGAATCAACTCAAGGAAACAATGAGAGCCACTGGGGTTGCCAGGCGACTCTGATAGTCGCTTGATCCATGCTTTTGAAAGCTGTTACACTAGTTTTGCTCCGGCTGGCCACGGCAGGATTCCTGCAGGTATACTTGCAACTCGAAGGGTCGATTCATTATACCAGCTGTCCCAACTATGTAACAAATTTTGGTTTGTGGCCTGCTGGGTCCTACGTGATGTTGCTTGGCCGGAACGGTCTTGAACCTGTGACTGTAGTTGTTGCTACAGCGCGGGCCGTTTCTGTGAAGTGGTGCTCAAGCCACAATTCGTGCAGGGCACGGTCAATCGGCCGGCTGCCGGCAGGGGTGTGCTTTGTTTCAGTAGTGCACAAAGATTTCAATGGGGGCTGGCTAAGCTGACTCTGTACACATGCAAGTCCGTGCTACCGCCGATCGCAGAACAAAGCAGCCGACAGGTGTGATCGCACACAGCAGCTCCCTCTGTATCATTCGATGTGCACATGCTAGCTGCTAGAATCTAGACTATTCAGTACACATCTAGATCGCTTTGGTGCTCAGGTCTGTGAATGCCACTTCTGAAACACGCCGTGAAGTACGGCCTGGTCTCTTCTTCGCCCGATGCAGGTGCTTCCTCCCGCCTCGGCATTGCAATTTGCAGGGGTTGCATGTATGATAAGGGTTAAAGTAGCTTTCATCGTGTGTACTTGGGTTTCACTTATATGGTGAAGAATGCCAGGGGGTGCAGCTTGGACACACTACCTGGTTTACACTGCTAGATTCGGTTATTGATGCATACATTGTACTACACACATATGTGTATGCAAGCTTTGTATGCCTAGTCTGTACATATATATATATACATGCATGTGCTTGTGTGCATGCATGTGTACATGCACATTTATATGAGTGTCATGCATGCATACTAGATGTTTATGCACACTCTTCTATTCTACGGGGTTAGTATGTCTAGAACCACATGACATCTGAGTCTCGTGCTGGTGCTACACTCGCCGGATGAAACCAGGTTTCTAGAAGCTATATAGTGCATTATCATAGATTATAGCCGGCCCTTGTCAAGTACCCTTTTCGAGAGCCTTTGGTTCTGGTGGGGCAAAGCCTCTATAGCAGTTATGGTCCGTAGTGCTGAGATGGACATGGTGGCCCGGAGACTTATCTCTCTCCAGGCGCCGAAAGAAACTTGGATACCTTAGGAAAGTTAATGGTAGGGTGGTGATCGTTCCGTTGACTTTTATTTCGGAAACTCAGGGATTCTTATTGCTGGTTCTCTTGGTCTCTTGGCTGAGCTCTACACGCTTAGATGACCGGGAATACCAGGTGGTGGAGTTCTTTGCTGGTGTATCTATGGTGGCGAAAACAGGGAGGATGCTAGGGTTGAAAGCAGCAGCCTTAGACTTGGACTTTGACCGTGTAACGAATCGACCTGGTGCAATGGATTTGCGAACTCCAGCGGGTTTTGTGTTTCTTGGGCAATCTAGAACCCTGGCTTCCTTGTGCTATAGGTACCGTCTAGCAAATCCCCGACAGTTCCCCAAGCCTATAGCGAAGATTCCCACACAAGGCTAGCCATTACGGCAATCCTACGGGGCAAGTTCGGAGACCTGCTCACCACCTGGGCAGTGTGCTGCTGTTCGTGGATCATCACGAGCCGCGGCTCCACCTGGAGAAGTGAGATTCTCCCTATGGGGAACCAGAACTACCCTCGAGTAAGGGATGCGAACCTTCTTGCAAGCAGGTCATGTGCCAAAAATGTTTAGTTTGGCTAGACTATAACGCAACCCCATGAAAGTCCTTGCATCCCATGGCAGGCTCAGCCTGCTTCTCCTTATGGTGAACGCAGTTCAGGGCACTTGGCTGGTCGAACAGCCTGGCAGCTCTCTTCTCTGGCATCATGAGAGGCTAGCGGAACTTGCCCAGAAGCGCACTCGCGGGATCTCGTTGTGTGTGGCTTCGGTGTATCAACAGTTTCGATGGTTTATTTCAGCTGTTGTACGAGTTGCTACACATAATATGACATTACGGTTGATGATATAAATCCTGCATTACCCATAATAAGGAATAGACCCTAATTCCCATAGTTTAGGGTCCTTATAAAAGGTAATGCAGGATTTATATCATCAACCGTAGTGCTGTTCGGGTCAGGTTTGGAGACAATCTTTCTGGATGCTGTCGTACAACTCCCCTTCTCCTAAGCGGACGGTATGCTGGAGCAGCAGTGCCGCCGTTCGATGGTTCGATAAGGGGCCCGTGAAAAAGACGCACCTCAAAGAAGGGACAAAGGTCAAAACCGTCGATGCCACCTATGATGCCAAGGGCAAAAGGCGCTACACTGGTAATGCAAACCTCCAGAAGACACAGCTCCTCTTCCAATAGTCTGTGTTAGTTGTCATAGATTGAATTCTTCTAATGTAGAGAAATTAAATAATCCAGCGATACGTGATCGCGGCCCACAGCAGCTGAGGCAGTATACTCCGCGGTTTGCAAGGAGAATCATGCAACTTCGGTCATCCCTGCTTGCCCAAGACTCCGCCAAGACCCTGAAGGTTTCTGGGTTCCCAAAATCACACCATTACAATCCTGATTGAAGTACAGGAGCCTGAGTCCAAGAATTTACAGTACATGGCAGGTGTGTATATGTGTGTGCATATATATATATATATGTACATATACTAGCTTCTGTATAATATATATATATATATATATATATTATTATATATATACCACCCATGTGCATGCATATTATGTGTGTGATGTGTGTATGTCATGTAACAACACAATCTACTGGAAGAGAACAGACTACGTAAGGTATGCAGCACACGTATATACATGCATACATCCACCATGATATATGTACATAATATATGTACATACACACATACCCCCCAATAAGCAGGACTTGACCACTTCCACATATCCCCCAATAAGCAAGACTCGACCACTATCCCCAATAAGCAAGACTTGACTTTCACTCTACCAGTGCGACTCTACTTTGAGACTACTTAAATATATTTGTTTTTATCCTAGGCAGTATGCAAAAGGTCCTTTGGCACCCCGCTGATCATCGTAGTTCCTAAGCTATCGGATTCCAGATGAGTGGAGAGTCTTGTTACCGGGATCTTTTTGAAATGAGTGTGTGCAGTGCCGGTGTGGCAGAGCTTGGCAAGGACTGGGTGTGGAGTTCCGAAACCCTCCGGTGAATAAGGATTCGTGCGGTGAATAAGCCCAAGACTCGTTCTGCACTAGCTGTTGTCAGCAGGTCCTGCTTCTATAGGGTGCGGTTAAAAGCGAGGTCTTTTTAGGTTTGGGGATATTTCTGATACTGGTCCATCCTGGTATTCTGCAGGCACGTTATTCAAATCATAACAACGATTCCCAAGAGCTTCGCTGCCACATGACTGTCTCTAGGATAAAAAACAATTCCCAAGAGCTTCGATGCCATATGACTGTCTCTAGGATTAAAAAAACACGTCACACGAACCTGGAGCTGAGCTCAGCATGTCTCTTATGACAGCAGTCAGCAAACACAGATCAACATCAGAATGCTGGCTTCAATCGATGGCCGGCTCAGAAGCGTTGCGCCCGTCGTTGCGCAGCATGGCACTGAGAATCAGAGATCGGCCTTTGCGACCGCCTTGAGGGATCTGCAAAAATTCATATCCGATTCTGGGCATTCTCAGACAGTAACAGTATCACTCTGTCCTTAGGTGTCCTTGGTCCTTAGACGTAGGACGTAGGGTGCGGAATACAGAGTCGGAGTCTGGGCTGGTGATGCTGAGGATGGTTGTTCTCACTTGACACCGCGCACGCCATCCGGGCCGAAGGGTGGCAGACCATCGTACTCAATGATGCAGCTTTTCCGATACTGCGAGTTGCGGCTAGTTTGCAAAACGCACGGTGGGGTTGGGGCCTTGGGTCTTGGGCCTGGGGCTTGGGGGATGGGTGATGAGTGATGGGAGGGGCGGAAGACGTGTACGAGTCGGTGTTGCATGCTGGCCCCGGCCCCTTAAATTCTTAAAACCATCTAAACCCTAAGCTTGGTGGCGCGCTTTGTAACGGGTCCCATAACTCCCATGGCCCATAGCTCATAACTTTTGTATCCAGCGGTCAGCGGAAGCACAAGGGCGATGGATCTCCAATCGGGCGGCCACATGACAAAGGTGATCACCAAATCTTGCTCCATGGTGCTGGGGCAAGACATGAAACTGGACCCCAAACAAATCTCCATCGGCCAGGCTTGGCGGTAGCCACTGCTACTGTTTGCTGGAATGCGGCTACTGTGACTATTATTCATTTTGTCATCTCATGCACGTCGTTTTTTTGTTCAGTTGGCAGGCCACGCTGAGCCGATCGAAGGGCAAACTCGACATTGCAATGATGCTTCTCAGACGTGCATACTGGGCCAACATTCTTCTATCTCCGCCACCGTCCGATGACTCAGATGGTGCTCAATTGCAGAACACTCCGGGTGTCAAGGGGCATGAATCGGTGTGCGTGCAGTTGGCATTCGACTCGTCGCCAGTCAAAAAAGATTTCATGCTCATCCAAGAAACTTCCATGCCGTGACTCGGCGGACTGGGCTTTAAAAAACAAGGGTCAAAGCCGAAGCCCCAGGCCCAGGCCCCATACTGCCCCATACCCCAAGCCTCCAAGACTCCAAGCCTTCGCCTACGCCTAAGCCTAAGCCGTTACCTGGAGCCCCGAAAGTGAGGTAAATTTCTGGTCGAAGCGTAATCGGGCGTATTTGTGCGTAGGTCAACCCACCCGGGCGTAAATGTCCGTAATGCTGTTTTCTGTGCCTTATTGCTACATGCCATGTATCCTCCAAAACTCCGGTTCTCCAAATGATATTGGTAAATTTTAAATCCCCGGTTAGGGCGACTTTTTATGTAGGTTTGGGCCAGGTCTAGGTTTAGGCGGCTGTCCTTGCGCCGCTAGGAATTTTAGGTTTGGGGCCCAGTTTGGGGTTTGGTTTGGGATAGGGGTTAGGGCGACTTTATATCTAGGTTTGGGGTTGGGGTTGGGGCCGTTGGGGGGTCTATAAGCCCTAAAACACTACAAGGGCATTTCTGAGATTCTGAGGTATGACCAGCTGCTTATGCACTTTCGGCTTTACTTGAGAAAGAACGATGTCTTGAAACACATTGATGCAGAGGACGCTGCCAAGGACTCTGACCTTATGGAAGGGTTACAATCATCCAGCCGAGTGCGCCTCTTGCCACCTGTGTGCCTGGGTCATGCAGCCACAGATGCTTCCCACAAATACAGCGCACTTTTGCATTCGATCTCCTTGGAAACTGGGCCGGCCAGGGACCGATACTTGCGGTCTGTGGTGGCTTGCACGACGGATCAAGGCAAATAGTGGAGTTTGGTTATAGGCTACAGGCTACAGGCTACAGGCTACAGGTTGGGTCAGGTTACATCGCCCGGAAACGTGTTCGTCGCCGTCACAATTGGAATGAGACTGAGGGTTTGAGAGTTGAGGTCGAGGGTCCAGGGTTTATTGATCTTCAGAAGCAACCCTACATTAAGGCTCCATTCTAGAAGTCTAGAAGCCTGTGTCAGGGACAGAGATGGCTGTTTCGGACAGCCCGGCAGTCCAGCTGGACAAGTGGTTGGAAGAAGAGGCAGCAGCGATGGGGTCAGCTGTCCGAGGTACAACTGGTGAGAACCAGGCAGAGCCAGTGCTGCAAGCAGGTGCTGCACGAGCCTTGACCCTCGGCCCGCGGCTTCAATCCTTAACTCTGGTTCAATTCGATGCCGGCTACTGTTGAGTTGAGCTGTCATTTCAAACCGTTTTGTTGTTGAGTTGTATCCCTGAATCGAAGGATGCCATTTTCCATGAAACTCGTGGGAATCAAACATGTATGTGACAACCTGCTTCACAGCATGCTCGATCAAACGTCCTAGCCCCTCAGCTTGATTTTGCTATGTAACATTGGAGCCCTGCTGCGGGGGTGCCGACTGTTGTGTTCCATGCTGCCAGGCACTGCCAGGCTTGACCCCTTTGCCGCCTTTGCCTGCCTTTCCCGAACCATTGCCATTGAACCAAGTTGGAGCCAGTTTCAGAGCGACCTCCACGAGGTCGAAAGGTTGCTTCGCAACGTTATGGCGCGGGAAGCTTTTCGTGGCCATTGCTTGCCAGATGACAGAAGAGTCTCTCGCCAGTGTGCCGTGTGACTTGTGTGAGTGCAGCGCCGCGTTACTAGTTGCCAAGTCCCAAGTCCCAAGTGCCAAGTTCCAAGTTTCATATTCCAAGGATCTCCATCAGCAATTTCGGAGTTTTTCTATCTCACTGAAATCACTTCGGTGGGAATGCGTGCCAGACTTCTGCGAAGCGGCGCCTCACTAGATATTCTGTGGGTTTCTGAAGTTTCTGACAACAGATCCCTGAATCACGATTGTTTGGCGACTGGGCGATGTAATCAATGTAGCCGTAGCCACTATAAATGTTGCAGTTCGATCCAAGGTGCTTGACTTGGAAGAGAACCTCCGTATGTTCTGGGACAAGAACAAGTTCGTGCAGAACACACAGGGGAGGGATAGCGACCAGGGATCTCCAATGCCCCGAGTTGACCGTTTGGACAAGGCCTCATGATGTGCCTCATTGCCTCATATAACTCATATATCTCGCATCTCTCATATAATTTCATATAACTCATTCTCATTTTGACGATGTGAACAGGTTTCTCGTTAGTGATCGGTGTTCAGAATTCAATTGGTGCCCCTCAGTTCTTGTAACTTTGCGTCGAGTCTGCGTACTGACAATATTGCACGTGCTGCCTCCACTGCAGGTTCTCCGGAGCTCCAGTTTCTGGGGCTTGGTCAAAGTGACAGCGGATCTTGGCTACTTGGCGGAGTTCCCAGGCCGTTGGTCTGAAGGATGCAAATGCTGTTCGGCACACCGTCTCGTGTATGCTAGCTCTTCTCGCAGAGAGCGGCTCTTGCTGCCTACGCCGCCAGACTGCATCTACCGTGGGTGCCGCTCAGCTGAGCTCGCAAGTGGTGAGTTCTGGGAAGCAATGGAGAATGTTGCCCGAGTGATGGAGCCCAGACTGCTCTCGTACATGCATGAGTTCGAGGGAAGTGGGGGCATGTCAACCATCGTGGCCAAAGATTGGCAGAGAAGCATCGCTTATATCATGATGGGTGTATCCACAAAGTTGAGTTATTGGCGTGAACTTCCCTACGTTTTGTGTGGGCTGTCATCGAGCCATCCAGCACATGTAGCTCAACTGAAGCACCGTGTCAGGGTGGATGGATCAGGTGCATCCCGCTATTGGTAATTTCACTTCATGCCCAGATAGAGTCAGACGGTTCAAGTTTCAGTCTTCAAAGTTCAGAGTTCCCCTAGGCCCTAGGCCCGAAATTTCCCTGAGCACCTTGACCCTTGACCTGACTCGCAAGGACTTGGGTTGGAACTTCGTAGAATCCCTGGTTGGAAGTTGGAACCCTAAACTTTGCCTCAACCTAAACAGGGCCTAAACTAAACCCTACTAGACTACTAGACTACTAGCCGAATAAACCTAAATTGACCTTGGATCTGCCCTAGACTCTGAACTCTGAACAGTGAACACCACAATCAAGCCTAGACACTAAAGACGTTCCAAAGATCACAGGCACGCAACTGCGCAGCGCGTGCTTTGAAGTTGTATGATGATCCTGCCGAACAGAGCCGTCCTGGTTGGCGGCATTGTCAGACGCAGCGATTCTTGAACCCTAATTGGACGGGGTTACCGGGCCTGCCGGACGAGGGTGAGGTGGCTCTACGGCCCTTGGCCGCTTTGCTACATCCATGCACAGTGACAGCCGACTGGTCCACGAGTCATGACTCATGACTCACGGTATATTTCGTTTAGGTGGCGTTCTTACTATTCAGCATGCTGATTCGAGAGTGTAGTGTAGCAGTAATACAGTGATACAATGTCATCTCTGAGATGCTTCTGTTTGAGACTGCTTCAGTGTTGAGTATGGAATGAGTTGAGTTGAAGTGAGTTGCCGTGCAGTGCAGAGTCCGGCCCGTCCGGCTCTGAACTTTAGAGTCCGGCAAAGTTGATGCATCGCCCAGTTGCTTACCTAATCTGAGGTTGAGCGGTTGGCTGCTGGCAAAGCAATTGTCTCGCGCTTGCTTGACGAAGAGGAACCTGATTCTGCGACAGCGTCCTTTGTGCACCGTGTGGCGGCACTGGGGCGGGTCAGTACTGTGGAAAGGTCGATAGAGGGATGCCATGCGAGGATAACAGCAATTATTCGAAAAAGCCCTTGCTCTACCGCGCCTCACATATCCTTATCTCTTCGCTTCAAACACTTGGCAGAGCTGGTCGCTGATGATCCCCAGGTCGGGTTCCGGAAATGAGTTATTTTCAATTAGTTGTAGGATCAGCTCGGCTGAGCTCGGCTGTGTTACTTTTAGGATCAGCTCGGCTGTCTGGTGTGATTGGCCTGGAGGGCGGGAAGTGAAGGGCCTTTGCTGGAGCAGTGAGGAGTGAGCAGGATCAGTATGAACTACCAACCCAACCCAACCCCTCATAATTCTTTGCTATTCCCGGTCACCCTGATCGGCGGTGATTCTGTGACAGTTCGCCCTGGGCAGTGCCTGCACAAGTTGTCTGACCTCTTGGACGGTGACCTGGCCAGATGCAAGACGTTGGTGACGGTGATCGGGCTGCTGGGCTGCAGTTGTAAGTCAAAGTTCTATGTCAAAGTCAAGAATTATGTGAGCTATGTGCAGTTCTTATGATGCAAGTCTGCTAGTGTCGGCAGTGTCCACATTTGCATGGTGCTTATGGCATTCATTCGGCATTCGGTGAGACTTCACTTGACGTTGTGAGAGTGTGAGATGTATGCAATGGAATTGTCCTTGCCTTGACCGAATTGCTGAGGAACATGCTAGGCATGCGCTCCGACGCCTGGCATGACAAATCTGTTTCGGAGGTGTTGGCTCTTGTCTACAGAGATGACGTGCGCGTCAAGCACGCCAGCAAAGCTCGGCTGAAGGACGAGCTTTCTTCGAACACGCAGCTGCTGCATGATCCTGCAGGCGAAGTTGCCAACAGAAAGGCCAATGCGGCAAAGGCAAAGAATTTGGAGGACTACAGAGTCAGCATGCTAGTGAAACACCTCCTGCAAGTTATCAGGCCGCAGGCAATGGCCGCAACATTGATTGATAAGATTGATCTCGGTTGGCATTGGTTGGTAGCCAGTAGTCAAGTAATTAATAATTGCGTAATAAGTTAAGCCGAGCTCGAGCCCGGCGAACCCCAAGCTTCAAGGCCCCGGGCCCCGGGCTCCCGAAGACGTGGTTCTGCTGCTGCTTTGTCACCTGAGGCTGTCGCGCGGGGCGACCCTGTGATCTTCAGCATGCCGAAGCAAGCTATGCGAAGCAGCGCCGTCCCGATTCAGGACTTGGGCACCCGGCATGATTCCGGAGGCTTGCGTGGGCTCTGGGCCTCCAACAACTCACAACTTACAAGACCGCGTTGTAGACGGTGTAGCGTTGTCTTCAAGCCTTTCGCCTTTAGCCTAAAGGCTGAAGTGCTGAAGGCTAGCCACTAGCCTGTAACTGTAACTTTTATTCCCGGTAGTAGTAGTCCCTTCTAGGCACTTGTAAACTTGTAGCTGTCTAGCAGCCTTGCAGCCAACTTCTAGTGTTGCGTGGTGAGCCTTGATCTACAGTAGCTAAACTCTGAAACCAGTTTCAACCGGCCCGAAACATTACAGACTACGGACTACAGACTTAACAGACACTATCCAGACCTCTAGGCCCCAAAGTGAGAGTTGTGTTTCGGGCCCAGGGCCCAAGCACAAAAGTCGTTAAGCAGATTGACGTCCAGAATCCAGAGTCCCAGGCACACAAGGCACAAGTCCCGGAGGTAAGCATAAAACGGTAGGTTCGCTGACTTCACTGTTCCATTCGTTTCGCTGCGATGTGAGGCACTGCTGCGGGAGCTGCGCCTGCTACTGATACTGCGACGAAATCTAGAAGGACGACGACAACGACCATGCTCGAAGACGAAGACCTCATTGCTCCCTTGCTTCCAGCAGTGCCGCAGAAACGCGAGAGGGACGATAGCGGCCAGGGCGGCCAGGGACACACGTGGTTTACAGTTGTACATGGCAGCCTCTCCAAGCAAACTTTCCTTGGGAAGATGTCCGAGATAGTCGCCGGGTATGATTTTTACGTGCGGGAGCTCACACCTCATCTGCCTTCTAGCACTATCTCGCCAGTTGATGGCACGGAACCTAGTGACTAGTTATCACTGGAGGTGACGTCGAGCTGAATGTCTGTGTGTGTTTGTGTCTGCGTCCGTATCAGTGACTCGGACTGTTGGGGATGATCAATTTGTTGTTGCAAGGTGCTCGAAGTCTTGAAGGCTTGAAGGTGTGCAGTGTGCACTGTGCGCGATGTGATTGGTCACTGGTGACCCATGAATGAATGTGTCTGTGTTCCGCTGTTGTCCTGCAATGACTAACTTGCAATGCAATGCAACAGCAACAACAGCAACGACAACAAAGTTAAACCAACAAATTCAATAGATATGCATGGCCTGCTCAGGCCGTGTGGAACGTGTGGCGATACAACTCCTGAACGAGAGCGAGACGTGCCAAGGGAAGTCTGCTTCGCAAACAGTGTTTGGCATTGCGTGGTATCTTGGCTGCAACAGGGTCTTTTGGACTTTTGGGTGGTGAGTGGTGAGTGGCTTTGATCCTTCAATGAATGCGATTCTCCACTCTGAGAACGGAGAGCATGTGCGTGTGAGTGTAGTCGTCATGTCAGCATTCGCGGTAAGCTTCGTTGGCAAGTCACTCGTGGGACCTTCATGCGCGATCATTGGGCAGGGCCGGGTAGGGTCGCGAAGGTGTAAGTGAAAGGCATATAAGATAGGTGGGTTAGGTTCGGGCAGCGCATAACAGTGGGTAGGGGTAGGGGTCCTAGGCTCCTAGGGGTAGGGTAAGGTAGTGTAGGGTAGGGCAGGGTAGGGTAGGGCGGCAGGCAGGCGTCCACGACTTCTCCAAGTCCTGACAGTACGGAGTACGGAGCTTAGGACTAGCTTAGGAAGCATGAGGGATGAGGGATTTGTGATTTGTGGTTTTGATATGTTTCCGCCTTGGGTTTTTAGCACACTCCGATCCGTCACCGGCGTACATTGTACACATTCCGTCCTCTTCTGGTTTCAGATACGGGAGGGTTCCATGATTGAAATTGCTGCACGATCCTTGCGTTCAACTTGCGACAACTTGCGGTCTGACAGGGATGTGCGGGATGTGCGATGAAAGTGGGATGCACTTCGAAATTTTGGCTTTGGGCCAAACTTTGTGGGCCTTGGGTGTAGTGTGGTGTGTGGTGTGGTGTGGTTATTTCTAAAGTTCGTAGTTCCTTTCTGGCTAGCTATACCAGAATGCCTGGAACCGACCCGCGGCCCGTGACGTGACCTACAACTCACCCGTCACCCGTCCACAGATCAAAGCTAAAGGCCCAAGCACAAGCCCACTGTTTTTCATTCAGCTTTTGATTCCTTAGTATAGGCAAGAGTTGTGTTTAGGTAGTTTGTTTTTGTTTCTGGTTAATCTTGATATGACATGGTAGCCGGCGCCGGCACCGCGATCTTCGATTCAAGTCGTCTTCCAGTTATTTCCCAATTTAGGTTATGTCAAACATTTATAAAGTGACCAGGATCTCGCAAGGACACGGGTTTAGAATTGAACATTCAGAGTCGAGTCTGGACAGGGACGGGATAACATAGCAAAAGCAAAACTACTGGATTAGTGATTAGTGTCGGTAGTCCGTAGCCAGTCATCACCATCACTAGCCTTTTCTCTGACTCAGACTCTGACTCTGACCTCTCGCCGCTCGCCTCTCACTGATTGTCACGTCAGGTGTCACTAGGAGTATTCCAGGAGTATGACCATATGCTGTAGTTTGCAGCAGCAGCAGCAGCAGCAGCATCAACTGTCACTGTCACTGTCATCACAGAGTCATCGAGTCAGCAGCCAGCACCATCGCCATCGCCACCACCATCACCACCATCACTACCACCACCACGACAACGACAACTATATCTAGTCTTCTGAGATTCTGAGGGCAGACTTGCTCTGGGGCCGGGCTAGGGCTGGTGCTAGGCTTTAGGATGAGTGCTTGGGCGGATGTTTTGTGTACTGTTGTAGTTGTAGTGTAGTCATAGTTGTAGTTGTACACATGTCATGTAACCGTAACCACTAGGAAGTAGGAAGGGGCAAATAGAATCATAAACACTTGAGGTTACTCTGCAAAGTGCAAACACAGCTAGCACCGCTGAGACCCCAAATGGCCCCAACCTGCCAACTCCAAACCGTAATGTCTGCATGTCTGAGTTCGGGAGACTGGTACCTCGGCTTGCCTCGGTGTGTCAGACGACCCAAACGCCTCAAACGGACATTGGATAACATTAGTCGCCCTCACTCTTGCTTAGTATCTTGACCTTGGGGTCTTCAGAGTCTTGAGTCTTGGGCCTTGGGGATTGCGGACAACCATGAGAACAGTCACCGGGTAAGGTTGTAGCTGCTCGCTCGGAGCGGCAAGCTCATATACATGCGCTATGTTCACAGTTATATACATGTCAGCAACATCGAAGATCGAAGAATGAGGTATCACAATTATCACAGCATCATCGGTGAGGGTTGGTTGGGCCGTGTTGGGCCCGGGGCCAGAGTAGATGGTATTTGGTAATCATTCATTCAGAAATTCAGGTTAATTAGGTTAACGAATTTAGCCGTTGATTCCAACCGGGCAGCACTGTGCCAAGCGAGTTAATCTGCTTCGGCGGCTTTTGCATATGACGCGATGCCACAATCTGCGAGTACGATCCCGAGTAATGCATGCATGGCTAGCTGCAAACATCGTTTGTGTCGACAGCCAGGACGTTAAGAATGCATGACTCTGTGGCGCGGTCCGGCGATCTGCAAATTCACGATGGTCGCAGACGTAAGCCTCCCAACGACCAACACGGGCATATCGCATCGAGCTTGCAAAGAGAACATTTGCCACGATTCATGTGTGCTGCGATCTGGTCTGAAAGACAGACGATGACGAATCAGGTGGTCAAGCGGAGTTGCATCTTGAACGGGCTTGTGGCGGGTTGCGCGCCCCACTATTTGTGTCCCATGAGTCATGAGTCCATGAGTCATATGAGTTGTAATTGTTATTGACCAGCGTCCGACGCATGTCGCATGATGGGTAGGGCGGCACCCGCGATAACACGACTGCATTTGCTACCGCTACCGCTACCTCGTTGGGTTTGCTGCCTTTCTCCTGACTCTGTTGATGCTCCAGCTACGTAGATTCCCGTGGGTTCCTGAGTTCCTGATTATAAGGCCTTAACTGCACGCTTCCTTATCTTCTGCTGCGCCGCAGTCATGACGTGAAGTTATGCCGCAAGTTTTGCATGTGTACTTGACTTGAATATGCTCATGATTCTATAGCCTATGGTGCCCACAGCCACAGACCACAGCACCCATTGTATCTATAGACGCCTCGCACCTCGGGCCTCGGGCCACCAGGTGACTCTCTAGATGGGTACAAGTTTGCCAGGGTGCCACTTAACTTCGTTCAGGTTATAGTTATGTTTTGGTGTGCAGTGGTGGGGCAGTGGGGTGGATGGTTGGGCCCCGCCGCTTGGTCGCTGCCTACTCCAATCTGTATCACAAATTATTATTGGGTCCGGTCCGGTCAAGGCCCAGGCCTTGAATTCCTTGAGTATCCTAAGCTAGGCTAGGAATCCTAGAGTCTGGAGTCCTATGAGTCTATGAGTCCTATGATCCTATGCCTATGACTATGTTACAATACTACAAGGCCCAAGTCTTGCCCAAGTCCTAGTCGGGTTGTTTACGATTGAATTTGGGGTCGTCGGGTCATCGGCCTTCAAGTTAAGTTTGGTTTCTGTTCACCCCGGGTGGGTAACCACGCTTGCATCTGCTACGTGTGCTGTGTGCTGCCTGCTGTGGCTGCAGATATTGTTGATGCCCTGGGTCTGGGCCTGCATACACTAAATCACCATTATAGCCTTATAGTATTATAGCCTCAACTGTAACTCAACAGTCAAGAGTCACTCAGACTCAATAGTCAAGAGCCTCAACCCTCGTATTAGGACTCCGTAGAATCGCGTGTCAATGTCTCACTGTCAATCGTACAAACTAATTCCTAATCTACAAATACCATCCCACGAATATTAGACTAGACGAGGCTTAAGGCTCAAGGCCAAAACAAGGCCGAGGCCAAAGCCCAAGGCTTAGGCTTGGCCGGCTTGGCTTGGCCATATTCTTAGGGGTCTCGAGTCTCGGGCGTCTCAGGCAACTTCAGCGCCTGTTTATAGGCTTTAGCCTTAGCTTTATGCTTTAGGGTTGCGGTGGCTGCGGCTGCGGCTTGAGACTACAGGCTTACAGGTATTGGGCTCAGTTTTTTTTAAGGACCTATATGATACCTATATGACTATATGCAGATGTACCAAAAGCCCTCGCCCCTTCTAGGTTTCGGGTTATGTTACGGTTTGGGGTCGTTGGGGGTTGGGGCCGGTTTGAGGTTTGGGCCGGGCAGCGACAGTGACAGTAGCCTGACAGTAGCAGTAGATATTCTACCGGTTCCAGGCGAAAGAGTTAAATGATTTGGAATCTCGGTTTTGGAGTCCGGTGGAGTTACTTGGGCTTCCCTGATATTCTGAACGAGTCCGAAGGTGCCAACTGACGAGGCGCACAACATGCTTGCCATTTGTCGTTGCATGATGGTTGCTGTGAGCTGGTGTGAAGGAAGAATGGAAGAAATATTCGCGATTCTCTGTATTGCAGCCTTCGCGCTTGACGTGCCACTGTGCCACAGGGTCTGCGTCACTCTCACTGGATCATTCGCATATGGCACGATTTGCGCTTTACATGTGATTGTCACGGTGCGTGAGGCACTGGCAACCCAGCAAGCCAACTCCGTGTAGCCGTAGTCGACAGTCGGTAGTGGTAGTGGTAGTGTCTAGTAGTGCCAACAAGTAGAATAGGAGTCGGAATCGGAATATTACAGGAGAAGTAAGGAGCATTGCGGTCGTTACACAACTATTTCATGGCATCCTGGGCCATTGGGGTTCTTAGATTCCCATCGATTCATAAACTCTTATATTCTAACTCAAATCTAAGGGTTCCTAATTCCTATAATTAATGAGTGATGTGATGAATGTGATGAATCGATGATCCAAATGAATCCATGTCTCCATTCTCCATGACACATCAGTTCCATGTCTCATGCCATACACACACACGATGGCGGCACCAGGGACCAAGACAAGACTAGCTATTTTAGTGATCTTGTTTGCAGTTGTAATTGCGCTGGTCCCACCGTTCGCCGTTCCATGTAAGAGTATATTTTCCGACAGCTTCTCATGTTATATTTTTTATAATTGGCATATGTACAGGCGGTGTGCTCGCAAAGGGCCAGGCTAGACTGGAGGGCCGAGCGGAGTTCGCGGGTTGTGTGCGGAGTTTCTCATGTCTCATAACTCATAACTCATAACCCATAACTGTGCCATAACTCATAACTCATAACGACTCGTCCGACTCGACTCGATTCATAACACGTGCGACCCTGCTCCTAGGCTGAAGAAGATGAACAAGCGGTCGGAAGACGACCTGTCTGCCGCTGCATTGCTCCGGGCGGTGTCCGACATTGAGGTTTGGCGTGCAGAACCTCAGATGCAATATATCCTGCTCGACAAGGGCAAGAAGCTGATGGCAGCGGAGGGGTGTGTGCTCCCTGGTTGCAAGTTACAGACACACATGGTTGCTCGTTGCGAGTCCTACGGTACTGCGCTTTGCCACCCTTGAGCCTGAAGCCTTCCGTCTTCCGTGGTTAGTTGTGACTAGACTACCCCTTGCCGCTGCCCTTTGCCGGACATCTGATCTGTCTGTCACAGACATAAAAAGGCCCCGGTTTCGAGGGTTGGAAGTTCATTCATATTCATTGTTAGCCTCGCTGCGCTCTAGGAGTCTTAGGCTCGAGGCTCGAGGTTCGCGGCTGGAGACTGTAGGCAGGCAGGCAGTAGGCAGTAGGCTAGTAGGATCCCAGTGATCCCGTGTTCGTAGGAGAAAGCCGAGAAAGCCAAGAAGGAAACATCACCACTTCACAACCCTTAGGCTTAGCCCCGCCTCAAGCCTCAAGTCTTTGAATCCTAAATCCTCAAGCCTCAGTCCACAAGCACGGCATAACGGCATAACCACTCAGGAAAGACATCGAGCACGACACCTTGGAAGACTTGCTGCTCAAGTTCGCAAAGTACGGAAGCTACACTAATGCCAAATCTACCTTTTGGCTTTCGTGTGATGAGATCGATGTCTTAGAGATGCATGACTGGCTCCGATCTCCGTGCACAGACTTTTATCACTTGAGCCCCAAGGCTTCTGAGTACATTGTGCCACTAACGATGCATTCCGACAGCAGCAAGCTGGCTTCATACCGGACAGCAGGCGCTACCGACATGAACAAGCTGTCGTTGATAGAACTTATTGGCCGCCTTCATGACGAGTCTTGGGAAGAGAACGTCTCTTCGGCATCAGCACTGAAGTCGCAACAACCTTACAGACACGGGTCGGCGAAGCTCTGGTTTTCTGTTGAAGGCAAAGCTCCTAGCAGGTTGTATCTTTTGTGTCTCTGCCAAGCAGACACAGTCTTGAGCACTGCCACTGGCATACATCATGGTCAACTGGAATTGTCACTCGGCTGAGTGTGTCTGCCTGCGTCTGCGAAGTGAAGTGAAGACACCTAGTTGAAGCCGAAGCGTCTTACCAAGCACCGATTGGTGCCGATGATCCCGCAGCCTGTCTGAGTCACTTTGTGTTTTCCAGATTTTCCGGACCAAGGTACTATCGGCAGCTTTTGAATGGGCAGGATCCGGCTCCCAACCTGCCTGGCCCAAAACGACGACGAGGCAGCAGCCGCGCTGCTCAGGGAACGGAACGTCCTTCCACCGTGCTGATTGACGACGAAATCTGCTGCGTGGTCGCACTAAAATCACTAGATGCGGAGCTTCCCCGGCAATGGGCTAAGGCTAAGGTGCCTGCTGGGGGTGGAGGTCGCTTTTGGTAAGGTCCTAGGCCTAGGCCCAGGCAGCAGTTATGGGATGCTGTGAGTCAGATGTGAGTTGTGATGCCGCAATGTAACCACTGTAACTAGGGCAGATCCGTTGCGTCATTCACAAAGGCCTTCCAGCATCGCAGCCGCAGCATTGTGCACAACCATCGCAGAAACAACCTACACGGAAGTTCATCACCCACGGCAGTGCCAGCCGTGGAGCCACCGCACATGCAATGGACAGCGAATCCGAAGACGAGACGTGTTCGGGCACAGATGTGGAGAACGAGGATTTCCGTTCAGATCCGCGTCAATCAGTCAATCATTGAGATCTCTTTCACATATGAAATAGCTGGTCTTGTCAGTGTATGTCAGGAGACTCAGCCTCCGGAGCCTCGCCTGGCCTCTGAGGCTGAACATGTGCAGGTGTCAGCACCTTCTTCCGAAGTAGCATGTTTGGTTGAGTCGGTTTAGCGAGGAGCTCAAAGCTAGGCCTCCTGTTATGTTAGTTTGCGTCATTTCCCTGTGTTGCTTACATCTCAGATCACTCAGATCACAGTAGCTGCGTATCTTGGCCCATGTGCCGTGTGCCCACAATGACAAAGATGCTCTGTACTATGTACCAGAAGGAGCGGTACTTGAAACCAGCTTGCTCTGAACGTTTTTGTTTCAGGCCTTCACAGGGCGGACTGGGGGTTCCGGAGTTCCGGGGGTGTACAGTGTACAGCTCATCACGACATCGGAGTCGGAGTTCTAAGTTCTGAGTTCTGAGACCGAGACCCACAAGTCCAGAAGCCACAAGCTCACAAAGTACCAAGCACTCTTCTTAGAAAGGTTCGGTATCGGAGCCTTTCTAGGAGATGCCCGGGCCGCCCGGGCCCTCAGGCCTTTAGACTCTCTCAGGGACTCAGGCCCTTAGGTGGGTAAACAGCAGTTCTGATCATAACCAAAAACTGTTCCCCAATATTGTAACTACTGAGACCAGGGCAGGCGGCCTCTGCATCATAGAAGGAAGGAACCCATACAATCATGTAGGCTCAGATCAGATACCCTCCCAAGGAACCCTAAGGACCCTAAGCCCAAACCGAAATGCCAAACCAAACCCCGACCCCCTAGGCCCTAGACTGCCTAGACTCCCCAGTCCCCAGCCCAGTGACTCCCCAGACCTGAGGCTGTAGTTTCAAAGATTTAGGAACTTAGCACCTTTCGACCTACGCAGACGGTGACATAGATTGGTTGATCTGAGGTTGGTGCTGCTGATGCGACTGGTGTGCGTGGCTCTGGCTCCATCAACAAGCGGCAGCGGCTGCATCCGAGCTCAGCTGGTCATGCCACGAGAGATACAGATGGTGGGCCGCTCCCGGCGCATCTGCGATCATCCGTTTTTGCTGAGTGCCTTTGCTAATGGTGTGCAGCACACGGCGTGGCACAGTCCCAGTGTTACACTGTTACAAGATATCTTGATCTGTCCCAGTCTTTGTTCGCTGCAGGCTGCAACGTTCAGGTTGAGTAATCGGAATTCGGATCCAGTTCGGGCTGACAAACAAGTTGCAGGCGACAGTCAGCATCGTTGTGAGTCGCAGCCTCTGTTAGTACATTAGACTCCAATGTTTCGGCTCATGGTATCTAGTATCTAGTCGAGTGACCAGTGGTGATGTGAGTTCGAGGCCCGAAGTGAAGCAATCCCTCAAACTTCAGCCTCAGACCAAGAGCAGCCCAGACCCCGAGACCGAGACCCGGGATCCCTTATCCGAAACTGCTTGTCAGGAACACGATCTTCCTGGGTGCCAGCGCTGGCAGCTGTCCGAACCAAGCTTCGGGGAGCGGCGCGGCCGCTTCTGCCGATGCTGCAAGCAAGAGCATAGTCTTTGCTTTGATTAAGCGACCTCAGTTGGATCAGTGGCATGTGAATTGCCCGCTGCATTCTTATACAACTCCGGAGGGCAAGGAACGGCGATGCTCGAAAGCTATGGGAATGCGTAGTGGTGTTCCTGAAGAAACAGTCCTTCTCAAGCTTCGCCATTGGATTCGTGCAGGCAGCAGGCGGTGTTAGGATCCTGGAGAGTTTCGGCTTCGGTTGTTTTGGCTTTTGCGCTTACAGGTTTGCAGATTACAGGCTTCCACAGGCATTTCAGAAATAATTTCAATAGAGTCGAGTTAAGCCTGTCATGTCAATTCATGTCAGTATGTCAGTCTGTCACGGTCTGCTACCCACCCAGGTCCAGGCACCTCACCTTGCCCAAAAGCTTCCGATTCTGAATCCTGAGAAAAGGATAACGCCCCAAGGCCCCAAGGCCCAAGGCCCCAACTTCCCAAGGCCCAAGGCCCAAGGCCAAAGCTGCCCAAGACTCCAGGCTCACCGGACCGGCACATACTCTGTAACGCTTTCGCTTGCATCCCCCGGGTGCCGGGTTCTATGATATTTATGCTGCAGCACCCGCAACCTCTTTAGGCCGGGTAGCCCGGGTAGCCCAGTAATGTATAGCTTAGTCTCGAGTAATCCCGGTCCCGGCCGAGTAACCTGTTACTGATTGCTGCTACTGATGCTCTAGTGACTAGTGACTCTAGTGCTACTGCTACTACTAAGCTACTACAGTACCCCGATGCCCCGATGCCCGATGCCCCGATGGATGTGATGCGTGCTGCGAGGCTTTGACATCAAGCAGCAGCCTGGCGAAGATGCAGAGGCTCTGCGAAGGCGACACGTCTTCATGGTTGCTCTGCCGCATTATGAGGGCCGGGCGAGGCTCCTGGACTCGTGGACCCACGTCACTGTTGAGCTGCACACTGCACACTGCACACTTGTTGCATATGGCCCGCAGGGTGGTCAATGGCACATGTGTCACATGAGTAAGAGCAAGATTTGACAAGAAGCAATCGCAGATGTCCGGATGCCAAAACCATTGGTCACTAGTTGCTGTACCCAAAACCAAAACCAAAACCAGAACCTCCCGACCCGACTCAGACTCCCGAATCCTAAACCACCCGAACTCGAACCATCCTAAACTGATAGTTCCTGACATAATAATAACAACCCTAAGCCTACCCTAAACCCTGACCACTGACCGCCGTGACCCTATTGCCATACCTGAGAGAAACTTTTGCTTTTGAGATGAATCATACTTAGACTTAGACATAGTATCTCTCAGGTGATACAGTCCCCAGTCCCCAGTTCCCATCCAGAACAATGGCGCTTGTGCGCCAAGTGGCTGCGAATTACCAATCTTTTTGTGCATTGGATCCAGATGGATGCTGGACCTGGGGATTTGGCCAACGCGCTCCGGAGTATCGCATTGGTGTGGCGAGAGTACAATCAACTGAGTATGCTTTTGCCGGAATACATAGAAATGGAAGTTGCTCTGCTTGGGGCGTGAGGAACTTCGGAGGCGACTGTAGTGCTGTGCAAGATCAGTTGATACAGGTCGATTGTATCCAAGCAACCAGGCAAGCCTTTGCAGCCGTTCTGAGCAATGGATCGGTCGTGACATGGGGTTCTGCCGAATGTGGCGGTGACAGCACTGGTTTAAACCTCAGAGATGTTCGTTGCATACAATCCACGACATCTGCTTTCGCTGCCATTAGACGGAATGGTTCAGTCGTTACTTGGGGTGATCCTGATGACGGCGGGGACTGCACCCCGGTGCAGACACAGTTGGTCAATGTATGTCACATTGCATCAACACACAAAGCTTTTGCAGCCATTCTTGCAGATGAAAGTGTGATTACGTGGGGGTGTTCCAGGAGCGGCGGCAGCAGC